CATAATTGGTGCCATGTGATGCCTGAATTGTTCTCTAAGCAAGTCTAGCTGTGGTTTTCCTTTTGCTTTCTCATGAAAGATTCTATTGTGTATTGTAAAGTTCCTTCCCTATTTCTATATGCGTTTGCAGTGGTAGCAGTGAATCCTGTTTTGCAATTTTTAATTCAAATTAAAAAATGGTTAAACTTTTTTCATCAGAACATCAGTATAAATTGTATTGGCTAGGGTTCTTCGTTGCAAATGAAGCTGATATTGGTTGACTTAAGCCGAAAGGCATTAATCAAAGGGATTAATTAAAGGTGTTAGGTCACTCAGGGCATTGACAAGAAGGCCAGAATACAGGTTGGCCAAGAGAACAGCCAAGACCTGCTGTAGGGATAATCTCCTCAGGGCAGTGTTGCTGGTTTTGTTTTCCCTAGATTGGTTGCACTGCTGGACACTCAACTCCTTCAAAATCACTGAGAATAATCTCCAAAAGATCCTGTGCCTTGTATTATTTCCTCAAGATTCATACCCTCTACCAGAAGTGTCTAATTAACCTCACTTAAATTAGGTGCTGTGCTCTATCTGCTAGGGCTTGAGAGGGGGCTGTATCCCACCTATTTTGGGATTCTCCTCAATATGACAAGATTTTGGGCAGTCAAAACAACAAAATGTCCCCTGTATAAATATTTTCATCAAAGTCCAAAGTTTAAAATTCAGAGAAATGGAATTTTAGAGCTAATAGAAACCTTCAAGAAATAATGTCCTAACTATAGGTGGAAAAAGTGAGGGCTTTACAGGTAGAATGACTTGCATAAGATCACACAGCCAGTGGGGCGCCTGGGTGGCTCAGTCGATAAGCGTCTGCCTTCAGCCCAGGTCATGTTCCCAGGATCTTGGGATCGAGCCCCGCATTGAGCTCCCTGCTCCGCGGGAAGCCTGCTTCTCCCTCTCCCACTGCCCCTGCTTGTGTTCCCTCTCTCGCTGTGTCTCTCTCTGTCACATAAATAAAATTTTTT